TTTTTTTAATTCTTTATTTTTGTAAGTGCAAAAGTAGGTACATTTGTCAAGGTGGCCACATAAGATTACAGTAGTAGGCAAATAAAGACAATTCTGGTGACATATTTGTTATGCGTTGCACTTTTACAGTCAACCTTTTTAAAATGATTTTTCGTTTTAATTTTGCCTTCTTCAATAAAAATATCTAAATCTAAAAATGTAACTGTATCTTTACTGCATGTGCTCGTTAATCTAATGCCCCAATCATTATTATTTAAAAATTCTAAAAACTCTGTTAAATCTCCTTCCTCACCCTTCCATATCAATATGATATCGTCGATATAACGGCCATAGAAGACCAAGTTCTCCCCCCAGTCATGGCCATTATAGACAAAAAAGTCTTCCCAAAAAGCCATGAATAAGTTGGCATAACTGGGGGCAAACTTGGTCCCCATGGCCGTCCCGTTAATCTGTAAAAAAAATAATTATTATACCAAAAAAAATTGTTTTTTAAAATCAATCTTATTCCTTCTATAATATACTCGACTTGTTTTGGTAAAAAATCATTAGATTGAATTAAAAAGTGTTCCGCCGCTCTACATCCATACGTATGCGGTATATTACTATATAGAGCGGTTACGTCACATGTAACTAAAAAGCAGTCAGAATCCCAAACTACTTTTTCTAATAGATTTAAAACGGTAATAGTGTCTTTAATGTGTGATTTAGTTTTAAATACTAAGGGTTGCAGCTGAACATCTATGTATTGAGATAGCCTACTTGAAACAGAATCTATTCCCGCTATAATAGGTCTACCTGGGGGTCTATTCATATCCTTGTGGACTTTAGGTAAAAAATAAAAAACTGGAATCTTGGGAAACCTAATGTTTAAAAATTGGAACTCCTTAAGATCTAAAATCTTTTCGTTTAAGCCTTTCTCGAAAAACGTTAAAAAAAACTTGTTTATCTCCTCACTTGGGTTCTTATTTAACTGTTGATAGGTTTTTGCATCTTTTAAAATATTCTCCGCTTCAGTATTATAAAACATTTTGGACATCAGGACTATTCCTCCTCCCTTATCCGCAGGCTTTACAATTAAATCATTATCTGTTTGTAAGTCTTTTAACCCCTTAAGGACCAAACTTCTGGAATAAAAGGGAATTATGGCATGTCACACATGTCATGTGTCCTTAAGGGGTTAAGGCCCTCTTCTCCATTGAGGTCAAATTATTTTTGAATTTATCTTTAGAAGTCATCTTATTGATTTCTGTCATGACCATAGTTTCAAAAGATATCATTTCATCAGAAATCATTTGTTTCGGATAAAATGTTGATTTATTTTTCAAAGTTGTATGCTTAAAATCCGATGTTTCTATAGAATTTATTTCCGGATTTGGTTGATCTCTAATTAGTGGATTTTTAAGGAAAAAAATTTTTAAACATAAACTTTGTTTGAAACGATTTAAATCAATGTACATATCGAAATGGTTAAGGCCTGCGTTTTGTGGGGATATTTATGGGATAATAGTAAACAGTTGAGAATTGCCCACTAATTCAATTCTCAGATCCCAAATATCGTTATCGTGTTAAGTGAAATGTATACTATATAAATAATATTCACAGTTTTATAAAAATAGATTTTATTTATAATAACAAGTTAATTAATAATAACATGTAACATGCGTGATAATAATCAATGAATATTCAGTATAAAATGATATGCAATACAAAGGAATGGCTACACACGTCTCAATGGCTTAAACAGCATTATCTGTCAAGACTTTGACGATTTATGAGGTATCCTTAACACAGACTTAAAGTGAAACATTTCACAGCGAAGAAAAGTTTTACTCAGAGAACAGAATTCTTCAGAGTGCAGCGTAAGGTCGTAAAGTTAGCTGACAGTTAGAATAACCCTTTCAATGCTGGCTAGATCTCCTAGGTAATTAAGATCTATTCTTATGTAATTTCAGATAAAATAACATTTAAACCAGTTCATTAGTCATTTCCTGGAACCATCCAATAAGAGAATCTACCATATTATATGAGCAGAGTTTGTCTAAAAGATATCTATCTTATATTAGAGCAAATCAATACACCTGGATAAAAACAGCGGTATGCTAACACGTGATAATATCACATCAATATATAATTATTCTTAATTCCACCTGCAGAATGGAATATTTATAACTATATATTCTTAGTTAACTAAGATTTCTTAATATGGAAATCTGACCGTGCTTTATCCAGTAATATATAATGCTATTAATACATTTTAATTAATTTAATTTAATTAAATGAAACCAGTATAATTACCAGTTGAGTAGATATTTCATCCGATTGGTAGTCTCAGGAACTTATTTGGATGTCTCTCTGCATGGAGGTTGGAGTCCCCAAACTTCCAATTCCTCTCTCCTCTTTTCCTTTCTCCTTTGCATCTCTTGCATATCCCTATCTTCCCTTTGTCTTAACTTTTAAAGGGCCAGACTCTCTGTACGTCATCAGTTGATAACCCAATAGAAGTACTAGAGGTGTGGTTATCTTCCAGAACGCAATTTAGGTATTTGGTCTAAAGAGGGCAGTCTTGTCCCACTAAACATACCTATCCAGGAAAGAGTTAACTTTTCCTGGTGGCTATTTTGACGTCATTTTGCTTATCTCAAATGACCACTATAACTTACGTATCCTTCACAGATCAAAGGGTTTCTTAAATTTTGTCCAGACTATGTGTCTAGCAATCTGAGTTTTGTCTGATATAGCAGATCATGAACTAAGTTTACCCTTTTCCATACAATGGTACCTTATATATATATATAGACAGTTAAATTTTATTATTTAATCTTCTCTGTCACAATTGTCTGGGTTTAAATTTGATTATATTCCATTAGCATTTAGACAGTCTGTCCAATCCCCCTTTCTTCTTATCACTTGTTTATACTATGCATTCCTCTAGCTCTGGCAAAGTGGCTAGTCTTACAGAAAGAAATCTTGTGTCTTTTTTTGTTAACTTGAAAATAACAAAATGGAGTCTGGTCTGTTCAGAGTGACTCAGAATATACACTTTTAGTTTCTATCATAGCACAAAATGTCTGCCGATATAAATATTCTGACAGTTTGGTGCAAATTTTAATCCTTTATTCAATACAGATATATGATTAGGATCTAAAATTTTATTGCTTAAATTAAAAATGCCCTGCATTAACTCCTTGGGTGTATCTCTCTTCTTTTTGGCCTGTATAAGTCTTTTTTTTTTGTTTTTGTTTTTTACAATAATGAACCATATGGGAACTTAAGAAAATGTTGTAACATAATTGTATATTGAATTTAACTGTATTGAGCTG